TATGGTGGTGAAGGTGCAATGGTATTGGTGATGTTGGTGGGGTGTGTTGCGTTGTGGGGCTGTGTTAGTGGTTGTGGTGGTGGTGGTGAGTCTGTATAGGGTTGGGTGGTTGTTCTATGTTTGACTCGGTGCGTCTATGTTGGGATGTGTTTGTGGGTGGTGGCGGTGCCTTCGTAGCGGTGGCGCCTCAAACAGTGAATGGTGGTGGGAGCGGTTTACATGTTTTGACGGTGGTTTGTATTGGTCGCGATGGTGGTGGATCTAGTGGTGGAGGTAGGTTTTGTTTTGGATCAATGGTGGATTTAACGGTGATAGTGATGGTGATTTTGTTGATGTAGGCGGCGATGGCTATGGTGCTTGACGGCAGATTTAGAAATTTTTTTGTGGGGTTGTAGTTATGGAATGGTGGTTATGGTGGTGGAGGAAGTGGGGTGGGGTGGGGTGGGGTGGGGTGGGGTGGGATATTTGTGACCAGTTATTTGGTAGATTGTGACCAATAAATTGGTTAATTTGTGGTCAATAAATAATATGTGGCCTATAAAATGTAATTGTGACTTACAATTTATTAAGTTGTAACCAAAAAATTACTCGTGACCATTTTATTTGATAATATGTGATCATTAAATGAGTTGTAACTTATAATATTTGTGATTTTTATGATTGAAAAATAAATTGTGACTTATAAATTTATTTTACTGTGACTCAGAAATAATTTGTTTTGTGATCGAGTTGTGACAAATTAATTCAATAATTTTGACCAAATTGTATAGAATTGTGACCTTTATATATAGTTAATTAATATCTGATTTTTGAAATTTTAAACCATATTTCTTAGTTTTGAAATAAGTAATATTTACCCCTTGTTTGGGTTCCATTTTTTCAAGAGAATGTATTTTGGAATACTAAAAAGTTGGAGAATGTGTAGTTAAAAAATAAAGAAAAATTTTCAATTTTGTGTAAAATTATTTTATAGAAATATGCGTGGTTGAAAAAATGAGTTCTTATGAAAATGGAGCCCAAACATGGGCTTAATTTCTTATGAAAAAATTCCATATATTTTTGTGTGCCAACAAAAAAATAGGGGAAAAATTCATATATCAGATTTACCCTACATACCATTTTAAAAATAAGAAAACAATTTTAAAATTTCTAAAATCAGATATTTTGACACACACACACACACACACACACAGAGTTAACCCACCTACCTCCACCACCCATATCGCTCCGACGACCATTTCGGCTGCTACTCCGATTTCGGAGACCATTCCGGCGACTTCTCCGATTTCGGCGACTATTCCGGTGATAGCTCCAGCGACTTCTCCGATTTCGACGACTATACCGATGATCGTCCCAACGACTATTCCGGTAAATGTGACCTATATTTTTGAACTGTGACTCTACAAACACATGTGACTTGTTAATATTGATTTTTGGTCTCAACATTTTTATAGGTCACACGGTTACAGACTACCAAATTAATTGGTCACAGGTTTTTTCATGGTCACAGATTATATAATTTTTAGGTCACAGATAACAAAATGGTTGGCCACAGATTATATTTTTAGTCACAGCTTACCGGTTGTATGGTAAGTCATAGCCCATGTTACAAGTCACAACGCATGGTTGTTTGTTTATAATGATTGATAACATGATAAGACTCATGTCTCACATTTTTGTTAATAATCACGGGTTATTTTCAAATGGTCACAACACAGGTCACAAAATATTTTTGCGCATGGCTCAGGTTCTTGTTGATAGTCACAGGTATATTTCAAATGGCCACAACATAAGTCACGGAATATTTTTGCGCATGGCTTAGGTTTTTGTTGATAGTCACAACACAGGTCGTAGAATATTTTGCACATGGCTCAGGTTACAGCATATGTCACAGCACATGACTCAAGTCACAGCATTGGTCACATAAACTATACAACACCACCTCACCACCACCACCACCACCACCGTTTTATATGCCATAACCCTACTCTTCCGCTGCTACCACAGCCGGCAACTCACCACAACCACCATCACCAACGTCGCCAACACAGCCTCATCGCCACCACCACCATAGAAATTATTAGATCCACAAAACCACCCAAACATCACTACACCATGGAAACCCTTAACAATAAACAAAAATTATCCAAATCTGGCGTGGCACCATCTTCACGCCACCTCAAATCCATAAACATAATGACCACCTCCACCTTAAATCCACAAATACAATGACCGCCGCACTGCACAATCCACCACCACCTCAAATCCACAAACACAATGACCACCTCCAGATCTGTAGCAGTCTTTGGAGGCGGAGACACAAAGTTCTATTGCACAAAATCGACGCGGAATTGAAGCCTTTGCAATCAAAAACCTAGGCAGACATAGTCGACGAGCCTGATTCGGAGCAAGAGCAAGTCGGGTCGTCTGATGGAAAATGGAATAGGAGCTAGTACCTTAGTGATTTGTGGTTGTGACCTCAACAATCGAAGCTGGGTGGTGTTGCAATGATTGGGTTGGGGATCAATTGTTTAAACGAGTCATTGTTTGGTCAAATCTTTAGCAAATATGCTAATTCTCAGAGAATTCGAGTGATGATTTTAGGGAAGCAGCCGATGAAATACTGTAGGGAGAAATACCGGCGAAAAACCCACCGCTGCAGAAACGGCGTCAAAGAGACACTGCGCTGCTTAGAGTTGCGCATCTGCCGTAAAGGCACCACTCTTGAGCTGTAGCAGCATGAAAGCGCGACTGCCCTTTCGATGCATGCCTCAACGCCGGAGGTCCCCTGTCGCGGGATGTGATGTGTTGCCGAAGAAGAGAGAAGGGTTGTGAAACTCCACCGTTCGTCGCGCCGAACGCTATGATTTGCGGTGTTGATGTCAACAACAGTGCCGACTGCTGTGAGTGCTGCTCGGCCGTGATCTTTCGACTCTAATAAATTGCCCGTCGTGTGAGAAAGGGAGAGAGAGAAGAGGGGTGAGGAAGAGAGAGAAAATATTAGGATTTGAATTAAATTTTATAGGTTGGACGGGGTTAATGTTTTATATAATATTAATATTAATACTTGAATTATTATTTGATTTATGAATAAGTAAACCTCATATCTCATTTTTGAATTACAATCTTAAAAATTTGTCTTGATGTAATTTCCACATCTTATATTTTAACGGTCTGCCTAGAGATGGCAGTGGGTTGGGTTCGCCCCACCCCATCCAGGCCCCGCCACTCCCCCATCCCGTCTCGCCCCACTTTAGACGGGGCGGGGCACGGACTTGCCCATTTATGTTTTTTTTTTTCAAAAACTTTCAATTAACTATTTTTTGTTTTTAATTTGTAGTTAATTATTGTTTTTATTCTTCACGTGACGGGTTTGAGGCATTTCGGGCGGGGACGGGCCCTCCCCACCAACCTGTCGGGGAGGGGTAGCGCTGGGGTGAGGCGGGTTTTTTTGCCATCACAAGGTCTATCCCTAATTTGGTGTAACTTTTAGTTTTGGAGTTTGTTTGAATGCCATTTTTTTGTCCAAATAGAAAGTGTGTAGTTAAAAAATATAAAAAAAAAATTGATTTTACTTGTAATAATATTTCATCGAATAATGTGTGATTGAAAAATAAGAGAAATAAATTTATTTTTAAAATAATGGAAACAAAACAAAGGCAAAACCACACACTCACAACCCTCTCCGCCACCACGCACAACCACAGCTGCGAATTTGCCGCCACCACAACCCTCCAACTCAAGATCCCTACCACCTCCACTAACATATACCACATTTAACAATCTATTCCCTCCACAAAAAAACCAGAAAAAAATACAGCATTTATTAAAAACCACCACTGTTGTGGTCAAGCACCGCTAGCACCGTGAACAGCACCACCAAGCTTGGACTCTCAATGTATGGTTGTAGTGATGGCGCAAGTGGGGGCAACGCTGTTGATTAACTGCGCATTTGATTCGAACAACACTACCTTTTGATCTCAATTCTTTGTGTTATTTGGTTCTTATTTTGTTGTTCAATTGATAGTTCGTAAGGTTTCTGTTTATAGTTTGTTAGTAAAGAGAGATCGGAGTTCTGCAGCATATTGAAGATTGATTTTTGAAGCATAATGGCATATAGAGTTTTTTTTATTCTTAAGGCGGTGAATGCAAATGGTGGTTGAACTTTGATTGAGATCGTGAATCAGCAGCGGACCTGGATTTATAATGATGAAAGTGTTGGAAAATAGGTTAAAATAGCCATTATTTTGAAGAATTGATACTATGAACCCATGATTTTTTTGGGAACGTGTGATTAAAAAGTATGAATTTTTTTTTTTAAATTTACGTATAAAATATTTTATTGTGTGAACGGATACTAAAAATGATTATGAGAATTAAAGAATTTTGTTTTAAAAAGGAATCAAAAGTGCTAATTTGTGCACCGACAAGAATCCATTAATGTAACTACAATGAAAAATAGAATACAACGATCATATTAGATCAAAATAGCCATTTTTAGTTTTTTAGCAAATAATAACAGCTGAAAAACATGTGAAACAAGTGACTGATTCCAAGCTAAGACAAATTTAAGTTTATTAAAAATTATTTATTGCAATTTT